CCATCACCACCATCATCCTCAGCATCAGCATCATCATCTTCACCACCACAATCACCATACGAATCATCATCATCATCATCATCATCATCATCATCATCATCATCATCATCATCATCATCATCATCATCATCATCATCATCATCATCATCATCAGCATCAGCATATCAGCATCATCATCAGCATCAGCATCATCATCATCATCAGCTCGCATCAGCATCAGCAGCCCTAGCACCAGCACAGCACCAGCACCGCACCAGCACCAGCATCAGCATCAGCATCGCATCTGCATCAGCATCAGCATCAGCATCAGCATCAGCATCAGCATCAGCATCAGCATCATCATCATCATCATCATCATCATCATCATCATCACCACCATCACCATCACAATCACCATGATCATCATCATCATCACCATCAACATCATCAACATCACCATCATCATCATCATCAACATCACCATCATCATCATCATCATCATCATCATCATCATCATCATCATCCTTTTCCTATTTCTTGTAAGAAACTCCTTTCTGTCGCACCCCGGCTCCACTCGGAAGGGCGGGCCGGGCGTTTCACCCGAGTCTTCCAGACCACGTATGATCCGGAAGCTTAGAAACTGGCACCAGTTTGCGAGATGGAGGGCGGGCCGCTTCCAAAATATGGCTCTCGCCTTAGCGCCGCGCACACTCGTCTTACAACATTACAATTGCTTTACACACTGAGGGCGGGCCATTTTCAAAATGTGGTTGTCGCCTGAGCACCGCCAAAAACGCCCACGCACACTCGTGATACGCATTCGTACGATATTCACGGGTTTTCCGTGACAGCGTGCCAGCACTATTGTTTTGGAGCGATTCGGGATTGCCTGGGCGCACCAGTTACCATAAGTCGTGGTGTTGAAGTCATGGGAATGGTGTTCTGGCACGATTCAGGATCGTCAAGACGTAACAATCAAATTGATTCGTGTCGTTGGAATCACGAGAATGGTGCTTTGGCACGCATCAAGATATTCAAACGGTTGTCTTCCAACGGGGCACTTCCCTCAATGAAAATGAAACCTTACACGGGACCCTGAAAAGGGAGCTTGGAGGGAGGCCTTATTCCAACATCGTTTATGGGTCTTGGGTGTACACTGGTCCTCCTCTTCCTCCTCCTCCTCCTCCGCCTCCTCCCTCCTCCTCCCTCCTCCCCCTCCTCCTCCTCCTGCCTCCTCCTCTTCCTCCTCTTCCTCCTCCTCCTCCTCCTCCTCCTCCTTCTCCTCCCTCTCCTCTTCCTTCCCCTCCTCCTCCTCCTCCTCCTCCTCCTCCTCCTCCTCCTCCCCTCCTCCTCCTCCATTCCTTTTCCTTATGAATGTTTCCTCCCTGTAACATCCCGCAGCCAGTCGGAAGGGCGGGCCAGGCGGTTCGCCTGAGACCCCCCTGTCACTTAAGAGCCTCAAACTTTAATACTGGCAACAGTTTCACACATTGATGAGGACGAACCGCTTCCAAAATGTGGCTCTCGCCTTGGCGCCGCGCACATTCTTCTTCAAAAACTGCACAAACTTCACGGATTGATGGCGGGTCTTCTTAGAAACACGACTCTCGCCTTAGCGCCGCGTGCAATCGTTGCAAACCATTTGCATCAAGAGCTTCGCATATTGAGGGCGGTTCGTTTTCAACATGTGGTTGTTACCTCAGCGCCGCGCGCATGTTTTGAACATTTGTGAAACAGCTTCACGTATTTACGTCGGTTCGTTTTCAATACGTGGCTCTCGCCTTAACGTCGCGAGCATGCTTTGTAAACCTGCGCAAAGCTTCACGGATTGAGGGCGGCTCCTTTTTGAAATATGGCTTTCGTTTTAGCGCCGCGCACATTCGTCTTAAACTTTTGCAGAATGTTCACTGGTTCCTAACGTAACAACGACGACGTTCTGGCATGGTTCTGGCATGTCAGGGCGCGCCAATTACCTTCATTCACGGTGTTGAAGTCCCAAGAATGGTGGTCGGGCACGATTCAGGATCGCCCGGACGCAACAGTCAGGTTGATTCGTGGCGTTGGAGTCATGCAACACATGTTCTGGCACGCTTCAAGATCTTCAAACGGTTGATTTCCACTGGGGCATTCCCACAGTGAAAATGATTCTCTGTAAGGGCTTATGAAGACAGAGCTTCGACGGAGGGTTTCTTCCAACATCGTTGCTTGATTTTGGGTTTGCACGGGTCCTCCTCCTCCTCCGCGATCCTTGTCCGCGATATTCCTCCTTCTCTTCTTCCTCCTCCTCCTCCTCGTTTTCCTCTTTTTCACCATCATCATCATCATCATCATCATCATCATCATCATCATCATCATCATCATCATCATCATCATCATCATCATCATCATCGTCATCATCATCATCATCATCATCGTCATCATCGTCATCACCATCACCATCGTCATCCTCATCATCCCCCTCCTCCGTGATCCTCTCCCTCCTCCTAGATCCGCGCTCCTCCGCCTCCTCCTCCTTGTCCTGCTTCCTTGTCGCGCCACAAGGCGTGATCCGTAGCAACCTTGGCTCGAGGGAGGCCCGCTCACGGCGGGCCGTCTGCGAGCGCGAGGGCGCTGGCCCGCCAGCTACGGGGCGACCGGCACGCAGCCCCGGGGGTCAGCCACGCGTGCACTTGGCCAACATATCCACAACACTGTGAACTCTTCGCATACAAACGTATTGTAATCTATGAATTTCGCAACTCACGTCCTTTTGGTTACGGACGTCAAAACATGCCCACTTTGAGGGCACCTCTGGTCCTGTCCGTCTCTGGCTCATCTGCCCACCCCAGCGCGCGAGCGGTGCCAATGATGGGCACCCCCTTCACACGAGACGTTCTTGCCTTGTGGGCTGCAGGACGGAGTTGTCACGGACGACGCTCGTTTCTGACTGTGCGCAGCGTCTGCTTTCACCGCAGGCTGAGCCATCGACGTAAACTGTCTTCGGAGAAGGGAGGAAACAACTACGCGCGCAGGCCAGCGGCATCCGCGTGAAGGCGCCGCG